GCCTCTTATGCTGCGAGCAACTATCCTCAAGTGGGCCTCCCACACCCAGCACCACGCTTACTTAGTTCAGCTGGGGGTTATAAGTTGACCACTGGTTGTCAGTCCACTACACTCAGTCATTTATAAAACATGTAAACATACAAAACAAAGAGCCCTTGGAGCTGACGGTTGCACTTTATAGAATGACACAAACATTGACTAGCAAACCCACTATCTACTAGGAAAGAAAAGCATTCATGTTTTCAACCATAGAAAAGTAGAAGTAGTATTTTGAACACTTTTAAGCCTCTATTATTGGGAATAGGGTTTGGATTTAACACTTCTTGGTTTCCTGATAGAGTTCAGGATTTTGCAAGCAGGGAACATATGTAGAGAACGCCCCTTCCTGTCACGAATGCATATGTTTGGATCTGCTTGAGGCTGTTTGATGTCTTTCTGAAGTCTGCTCATACACCATCCATTCTGCACAGAAGTGCACATACACACTCACACGTGGAAGCAACACACACAGAAGCTCACACCTACGAACACACAGAAGCACACAAACAAGGGCACACATGATACATGCATGTAGAAACATACCCAGAAAAATACATAGAAATGGACACACAAACACAGGAGCTTATACAAAAAACATAGGCGCACAGAGAAATTAGTATACAAAACCACTCAGAAACTATGCCTTACACACGGAAATAGATGTAAAAAAACAAACACGCACACTCATCACCACCATCATCGTCACCATCACTGTCATCCCTTTCAATAGAACCTCTTTTTAGCAGTCGTTGGACCATAACAATGAAAGGAAGTAAATGAAGAGCAAAGTTTTAAAGTGAACGGACATAAGTGAATTATTAGGGCATAAAAGGTGACAGTAGAGAAGAAGGGAAATGTGGGACTAGAAAAGTTCTGTTTTGTGGACAGTTCCAAGCCCAAGTTTCAGTGTGGAGTACTGGAGCGTCTGGGGGAACCAGTGCTGCCAGAGACACATGACATCTTCACCCAGCAGGCTCAAACTTCCTGTTGTCAGCAGGCAGCCCCACGCTCATCCACACTCAGTGTGGTGCTTTTAATTGGAAGAAAATGAATTGTAAATTATCCCTTAAAGACTTGTATCTTTGTAATGATTTTCTCAGTTGTCATCATTCTTAGGGATGTATGGAGCCTCCCGTGCCCAAGATAATGTTGTATAAAATAGGCTGAGGTCTCAGTGCTAGTGAGCGTGTACCCTGAGGTACTGCTTAACCAAGACTGAGTGTCCGAGGGAGCTTACCTTATAAATAAGAGAATCTTTAAGGATTTTGTAAATTCTGGAGAGCCAAATATCATGTGATGAATTGTCAATGCAAGACATGATTCATATACTTCTTTTTATTTCTCAAAAGCAGTAAATAAATGCAAGTTATTGTTCTCATCATTGTTATTAATAGATAGGGTGGGAGATTATACCACAAAACAAAGCTGTATTGGTCATGGACTGTGTCAAAGATTCATGTGAAAAGGATTTTTGCCCTATCAGTGCTATTTTATCTATAGCAGGTTATTTGGCAATGAGGAGCCCATTAATAAGTTCCCATTCCGTTTCTATTTCTCTAGGTTCTCACTAGTGAATAGTTTAGAATCTAGGAAAACTATCGAGGCTTACTTAGTACATGAGTGTATCTCTGTGCTTTCCCTGCGTGATTCTAATACAACCATAAGCTGAGTAGGATGAACATTCAGACGTAGTTTTCCTTCTTACTTTGCAAAGGCTGTAAGATGCACTTTAGCTTTATTTTCTTAAGACTACTCTCATACTCCTCAAAGAAAATGTCTCTATTCCCATTTTCCAGATGGGACATGGACACCCATGTCCATAGCAGTTATAAAACCAATTGCAGAAACACGATCTGTGAGCGTGGATTAATGACCATGGCTGAGTATCCGTTTGAGCTTTCCTATGCAGCCATCGCAGAGACCTTAGCCACAGCTCACGCGGAACGCCTTTGTGTGTGCCCTGTAGGAGGACATGACTGCATGGAAGCAAGTGTTGGCTTAACTTCATAATGAGAAACCTGGATACTGATGCGACTTCGCTTTGATTGGATTCTGGAACTTACCGCACTGAGCTGGGTGTAGTCCAGCAGCTGGGTGGCACTGGCAGAGGAAGGCCAGCTTCTGCAACAATTACTGGTCAATTGCAAGTGATTATAATGGCACGGTGTCTAAAACAATATGGAGAAAATGCTGCCTGGAAAACACCAGTGAGGCTGAACGACGGAACCAGCGCGTCGCTGGGGATATCAGTGTAGCGAGAGATGTTGGAAATTCGGGTTGCTACTCTAGATCACAGGATGGTGGCACTTTAAAGAAATCCGTGCGGTCCATCTCCCACTGTGTCCTCCTTCAGAGGCAGGAGGAATGAGGCTGAGTGGATCTCCTGCACGGGCTGTGTTGGTAAGTGAAGACGGCTGGGCAGAATGGAAGGAACAGCAAGGCTGACCAGTCTTATTATATGAAACCACCCAAGAGATACAAAGAACTGAAAATGCCATCCTGTATCCAACTTCACCTCCACCCAGGCAGGCACCTCGTGAGTCTGGGGACAAGCAGCTTCCCGAAGATGACTGCACTCAGAATAAGTTCAGGAAATGCTTAGGGATAAGTGCTGGGTGGACTTCAGTAGATAACCGCTTTCCCATTTGCAGACAGCACAGCAGAAGTACCATTTTTGCTCATGTGTCCTTTACTGCTTGTGAGTTATAACAGCTACAAGAGTTTGCAAGCTACTGTGTACCGAGCCACCATAACGCCAAGCCCACCTGGAGGCTGTGGGGCTCCCACCCCAGTAGCGACCTTTGGCGAGGTCGGTGGTTTCCTCTGAGCACTGCTCTGGTGGCTGCCCCAGAAATGCTACTTGGACCTAGCTTGGGCCAGTGCACTGTTTGCAGGCTTTTGATTGGCTTTGTGATGGCTTCCCTGCTCCTGTGAGACACTGTGACATACTCATTCTTGGCAGTCACTGTCGCAGGCGTTAAATCACTTTCCTCAAAATTTGCAGAGTTCTGACACATGGAATGGTCTCAGTAGGGGATTTGCAATGATTCTTTTTCAGTATTTATGAAATTGTGCACACCCTATGGCTTCTGGGCCTTTAAGCTGCCTTTCAGAGATCCCTCCCATGATTGTCACTTCCTGTCTTTAAAATATACACCTTTATGCATTGTTTTTGGGATAAGAGAAGTGCCTTTGACTTCGTTTTCTGTTATTGGTGTGCAGTGTGCCTACAGCCTCACCTAGCTAAGTATATAGCAAGCTCATGGCCATTTTCACACAGAAGGAGCTTCATTACTATGCATTTTTCATTTCTGCAAATCTGAATCCTGTGGTTCTCCCCAACCACATAAGCCTTCACACAATAAACCAAAGGTCACAATAATAAATGGTTCCTACATGGCGACACCGAAAGTTGCCAAGGAAGTCCTGATTTTAGCATTCTGTGCCTCTGTCTGTGGTAAATTTTCTCATTTCCAGTTCTTGTAAATTCCCTTTTCCCTACTGCTATTTCTGAATCCAGTTACCACCGACGTAGAAATGGGACTGGATAGTACGATGGAGGCTTGCCAATGGAAGTTTAGCCTCTTTTTTTTTGAATTTGTACCGTACTATTACAAATACAAATAGTGGGAAAATGTTTGTTGTATTTTGAGAGGCATAGAGGAGTTTGAATTTTTCCTGTGCTTTTCATTTCTATACATATGACCCATAGGTAACTAAGGAGGAGGATTTGAAATCAGATTAGGACTTAATGTTTTCTGACCCAGGGGTAGTATTCTATATAACCACTTGAGAAGCAGTTATCATAATATAATGGAAAGGAACTTTAGGGAGAAATGTAAGGTGTGTTGGGACTTTCAACAAAACATTATGCAACCAGCCCCAGTTGTCCACCTTTAATTTACTTGGGAAGTTGAGGAGATTACACGGTCTTTTTCTTTTGAACCCACACTTTTTCCAAAATAAGGATAAGTAAGAGCAGAAGAATATTGTCTGGAGAGAGTCTGAGTGAAGAGTCCTCACTGATGGTATTTGAGAAGAGGGAAATATATGCAAAACAGAATTTTACATTTGAATGTTAGGGTAAGGACACTGGAGACAGAAGACTCACTGTAAACTGAAAGCATAAGCAAATTATTCTCTGACCTCTATTTCTTTTCAAAAAATTACATGGTCATTAATTCATGAGGACTATGTGATAATAATTATAACGATACACAGATACCTTGTTCTAATTTAGCATTCAGCATGAGTAAAATATACCAAATATATCAATCTTGGGTACAGTAGTAGCAGAAACTGACCATTCTTAGGTTAGATCCAGTATAAACATTCATTTCTGTTTGCCTCTAACCAGCCTGGTGTCAGGCACTTGTAGAGTTGTCTTGGTTACTTTTCTCTCATTGCTGGGACAAGATACCTGATGCCCAAAATTAAGGAAGAAAAGGTTTATTTCACTTACAGTTTGTGGAGGTTTTAGTCCATACTTGGCAGGTTACAAGGCAGAGCGGCACATGGCAGAGGCCTACAGCTCATGGCGGCAGAACACAGCAAAAGCAACAAGCACTGAAAGGGAGGAATGGCAGCAAGCAGCCTCTTCCTCTCCCTTACATATGCAAACTATGCACCCCAGGGCAGGTGTAGCTCTCACACCCATAATCAATCAAACTCGAAAAGCCTGCCCCATGACCACATGAGGCTTTGGGGGGACACACAGACACAAACCATAAGAGTCTTTAATAGGGAATAATAAACTAGTTCCCTTTCAAGTGATCTCTTCAGGTTGCTCCAATTTCTACCATTGCCATCATCTCAGGTACTCAGAGCTGGAACTACTTCAGGTTGGCCCTTAAATGTTTCAGTGATTTTTTGGTACTATTTTAATCATATTTTTCTCTCTCTTTCTCTCTGCACCACCCCTCCCATTGGCATCTCTGCTGTTGTGATCATCTCCTGCACAGTTCTCTCCCTCCCTCCTGTTCCGTTGACTCACCAGGTGCTCTGAACATTGCAGGTTGGTTGATCTTCATAAACCTATGTGAGTTCTTGCAACTGCTCTTATAATCTCTGTGGGTTCATAAAAATTAACTCCTCCAGCCACTGGCTTTCAAAACTTAACAGTGTAGCTTAATTCTCCCAACTTATTTTCCAGTGCTTTTACAAAGGAGGTTTGGACTGGCCTTTTGGATCATGTCTAAGCTTTAAGCACAGCTTTGCCACGTATCAGTTTGATTACTTAAAAGAAAATATAATCTCTATAGTTATTGCCATAGAAATGGGAATTCCTTTGTTGACTGTTAAGTGGATCAAATGAGCTAATGCACGTCAGAAGTTTTTGTGTCTGGCATAATTATTAAAAAGTATTAATTACTTTTTCCTCCCTTAAAGAGCCTTGTTTACAGATGTCATATAAAGTTCCTATAAAGAGTTATTGAAGTGATTCTTTTTGGTCAGGCACATAGTACAATATGTGGTGTACGGTGAGAACAGAAATGCTCTTGTTTTAGAACATTGCACAGAAAGCCTGTTGGATGAAGTACATGGCTTCCTTCCTACCCTGTGAGGCTACAATCAGAACTTCTGAAGTCATTCTCAGTGATTTGCTCCTTTCTCCGTGCGTTTGCCTACTCATTTCCTTTCATCTGGAAAGCTTTTATCTTTTTTGCTATAATTCATTCTTTAAAGTACATTTCTAGGCTCTTTCCTCTGTGAAAACTTGTCTGGCTGTAGAGTTCCTTCTGTCCTATCTCTGAATTCTTGTTCTATTTTTATGTTTGTAGCACTGGAGACTGAGCCCAAGGCATCCTGCATACTAAGCACATGCTTACCACTGATCTGTACCCCAGCCCCTGTCCACAGAATTCTTACTACCTATATGCACACTTGAGATATCTAGGCAGCATTCTATCATCTGTCTACATATCCATCCACTGATCCTCTACTAATCAGGTAAGATCATGCAACTTACCTGTGACCTGTGTTCTATCTGTTCATCCATCTGTCAATCTATAACTGACTGCCAGTAAGATTTTTTCCTACTGTCCTGGAATTTCAGACAATAATTAATGTGAAACCCATAGGCACCAAAGAGATTATAAATCTTCATGCTGCTTCTCTCTGAGGCCCCACGAGAGAAGGCAGATTAGAGGGGCCCCCACACTACCCACGGCCATCTTCATTCCCAGCTCTATATTTTCCCTTCAAAGCATGTTGTTTGTGGCAGAGACTAGGACACATTCCCCCTGACAGCCAAGGGCCAACAGGTTAGCTTCAAGCCATAAGGCATAGACAGTAGGTGAGCTCTAGTGTCCTGGTTGGACATATGCCCCTGGCATGTTGGACACCTTCCCAAGGTTACTAACCCCTAGACAACTAGTTATAGTTAGGGAAACCAGCACCCCTCGATGCTTTGTCTAGCAAAAGTCACCCTTGCCCATCTCTATTTTATTGTTTTCCTGGAAAAGTGAGCCCAGCTAGCATCTAAAAGAGGTTGAAGAGGAAGATGGACAAGAGGAAATCATGCCCCTTACCCAGGAGCCTTTATGGGGAAATGTTCTAGAAGCTTTGGGGTGGGTGGAAGAGATCTTTGACATGCGAGATTAACTCTGAAATGCAAACAGGACCAAGTCTGGTGTGCCCTAATGAAATCTGGTAACTGAGCTTGATTTAGCTTTTCCTAGCTTTCAGCAGGGGACAGAATACCCTATCCCACAGGGAAGGTAGGAACCAGAACAGCCTGGAATTCTTTCGGGTGTGTATCCCAGCAAGTGGAACCGACACAGTAAACCAGCAACACTCGCTGAGCTCTCCGTAGTGAGTGTGGTAGCTGGCTCTGACGGAGAAGATGGTTTCTTCATCCCTGCTTTGTGTGGCACCGTGTAAACTGACATTTTAATGATGTCGCACTTACTTGGAATTAATTTTCTTTGACTATCAAATGAAAAGAATCTTCAAATTAGTTGTTCAGATGACCAGATATAAGCATGCAAAATTGGTCAAAAAGAAAAAAAAATTAGGAGTAACTGTTCCCTTCTATAAACCATCAGACTTCAGCAGTGCAGTTATGCCAGCCGTCCTTCTGTGTACATACATATTTTTTTCCCTTCCTTGTTTCTTTTTCTCCTTTCCCTAATCCCACTTGCTCCTTCCTTTGAGCAATTTCTTTCCCTTCCATAATATCTTTTGTACATTTTGAGTTTTATTTACTCTTTCAGGTTCTTATACTAGGGAGATAAAACACACACGCGGGTATTTACACAGGCGGGTCTGATTTATTTCACTTATTAGTATGGTCTCTAGTTGCATCTATTTACATAGCCGTATTTTCTTTTTGTCTTTTTGAGACAGGATCTTGCTGTGCAGTTCATGCTGGCTGTGAGCTCACTTTGTAGCCCAGACTGGTCTTGAACTCACAGCGATCCTCCTGCCTCAGCCTCCTGAGTGCTGCATCCATTTACATAGAAAAGCCTCAAGTTTATCTTTTTTTATAGCTAAGTAATACTCCGTTGTATAAAATATGCAATGTAACAGCCATTGGTGAATTCCTACTGTCTTTATTACTGTATCACTTCTAATTTTTTTTGTTGTTTTTATTTTGTTTTCCCTTTAATGGTTTGATCAATCTTGCATTCTTGTATCTGGTAATCAGAGCAACTTCACTGAAGATAACAATAGGAGATATAACAGCCATGTTAATTCCTATCATTTTGCTCTGAAACCCTGTATCATTTTTATGGTTTTTGCTTTGTTTTGTTTTTGTCTATGTTGTTGATATTTTGCTATTGTTCTTTTTATTCACTTTGAAATAAGAAAAAAGGATCACAGGCCACATCAACACCTGTTAAAGTAAAGGAGAAAGTCAAGAATCTTGGTCTCTGGGCCCTCCTATCTTACTGTGATTTTTAAAATTATTACATCTGGACACCTTGTTTTGTATCCAGGACCTTCTTTTCCTTCTGATCCATACAGTTTCTGCAGCACAGTCATTCTGTAGAATGGGACCCGGTTTCTTGGTCCTGCGCCCCTTTAAGGCCTGATCCTAGGGCAACCTGTTTGACTTCTGCTCTTCAGTCCCTGGAGGAAACCCAGTGCTGACTCAGTACTCAGCAAATCAAAAACTTTATTAGCAATAGTTAGCGGCCAATTCCGTTGGTGGCAATAGCTGATGGGATATTTTCAAAATATTCAGTAGCAAAGCAAGTCATAGACTGTAGCTATTAGTGCTGCTTTATTGTAGATTCTTGAATGTGGGTAAATTAAATTCTTTGCCTGAGGATGCCACTTTGCTGTGCTTATTATTTGATTTTTAACTAAAATTAGGTGACAAAGCAGGTTCTGCGTTCTTTGGATTTCAAAACAGTTAGCACTTTATTTGATTTACTCTACTGGAAAGAAATGCCTTCAGGTGAAAGAGCAAGACAGTTTTGTAATCATACTGAACTGTCTCTCAGGACCAGCAGGAAAAGTAATTGATCCTTAGAGAGAAGACAATAGGTTGAGTGATGTTTTATCAAAAAGAGTGCAGCGGGAAATAACCCCATTATGTATAATTTATTCTTTATTACATAATTGAAGTAGTTATTTCATTAGAGGTGTTTTGATGTAAAAAATTGATCAGATTTAGCATCATAATTTTTATGATTTTATTTTAATTTATTGTACATACAATAAATGACAGCTGGTAAGAGTGTTCAAATGCTCTTTGTTGCAAGTTGCAAGAATGCAGTCTGAATTAAAGTAAGTAAAATGGGAGGTGTCTACTTAGAAGTGCATTTGAATATCACGCGAGAAGACAGCCAAGCCACAGAGAAGATGAGATCACAGGAAAAACTGGAGAGAGACACTTGCAGACTGCCAAAACTTCCTCTCCATCCTCCCCAGGCCTTCTACTGGCTTCCTGCTTCTTTCTCATTATAGAAGATCTTTCCCTCATTACAGAGACATTTCAGAGAGGAACCCTGATTGACCCAACTTTGTTATTTACCTACGTCTGGTCCAATCAAAAGCGCCGGCACAGCAGCCTCGTGTTGTGCAAATGTTTGGTCCTCCACTTGCCATCTGGGTGGGAGGGGACAGTCAGCAGGCTGGGAGCAAAAGCAATGTGTCTAGTTTAATGACTTTAAAAAGATATGGTTCCCACCTAATTACTGAGGAAGTGATAGAGGTAATTCTGTGTAGTGGGTAAAGACTTAGAGAGAAATTGCTGGTTCTATATAACGGTAATGCAGATGACGTGTTTCGCATTTCATGGCAGCGTCAGAAGAAAGTATCTGTGCTGTATAAATCCTATAATGAGTTTCTTATAAAATTAAAATAGCAAATTTTGTTGATTTAGCTATTTAAAACTTTTCCTTTTAATTTTTTATTGAGATGCAATACTTTTACATCTTTATGGGGTATAATATGATAATTCAATATGTGTATATAATATGCAATAATCAAACCAACATAATAAGCCCTTCCATCTCCTCAAAGAGCAATCACTTCCCCGTTCTGGGAGTTCTAAGCTTGTCTAGACATTTTGAAATATATCACAGTCTGTCGCAGTCAATAATTAGCCTACTATGCTATAGGAAACTAGAATTACTCCCTCCTCTCTGTGTTTTGACGGCCCTTAGCTAGCTTTTCTCCACCTCCTTTTCCCCCCGCAGCTCTTCCCAGTCTCCACTGACCACTAATCTACCTCATTCTTCTGCGAGATGGGCTTTGTTTGTACAAATGAATGAGAATATGTATTATTTGTCCTTCTGTACCTGGCTTGTTCCACTTACCATGACGAGTGACCTCCACTCCTAATAACCTCCACTTCCATCCATGCTACCACAAATGACGGGGTTTAAGTCTTTTTAAAAAGTCTTTTAACGGCTGAATAATATTCCATTTGGCATGCATATAACATTTTCCTTATCCCTCTACCTGCCCATGGACACTTGGGTGGATTCTGTATCTTACCTATTGTCAGTGGTCCTGCAGTGAAGTAGGAGTGCAGGGAAGTCTTTAATATAATGATTTTAT